ACCTTGTCTCTGACTACAGAGTTAAATCGTTCTTGAGGAAATTATCTTAATTTCTGGCTTTTAGCCTCCTACCTTTGTAGCAGACAATGAATACGTCCCTTGTCTTGCTCATGCCCCGATGGTTTAGACTGTTTTTCTTCATTAGGCTTTCTATTATCCCTTTCACTTCAAGATTTGCAAGCCCCTTTATCCCAGTCTCATTATAATGTCCGTCTCAGCTTGGTTAGTGTGCATGTTTTGCAAAGAGTGAGCAACATAATGCTCTGACCTAGATGCAGGGAGAGTATTGCCAGTAGCTCAGCAATTTTCTTCTGAGCTCCAGTTACGTTGAACGGCACACATTGTGGTGTTTTACAGCTAAGGGGAAGAATCCTATTTCTTCAATTGGTCAGAATTGTCAAATCCCAAGTATAACACCAAATTAAACACTTTGTTTAATCAGTGATCATTGAAATTACAGTTCGTTTTCTTCTGCCTTGGATTCACTCTAGAAAATAAATTTATTAGCTTGACAATTAAGCAATGAGCCATAAATCACGTTGGAAAGAGCTGAGTGCAGTATGATATGCCATTCCATTGCTGTGTACAGTTACACTTTCACATAAAAACCAGTGCTTGAAATGCTACGACATGTTACACATTCTGCATTAGACATTATAGAGGTTTTCTATCCACTGTGGCTTTGGTTGACAGCTACCATCCATAGCCATAAAAAATTGTTGAATCACACTGTATGGGAGTGAGGACAAAATTAATAAAACAATGTTTCCATCAGGGAGGCTGTAAAAGATTTATAAGTTTTGCAAACTGGTAAAATACTCTGCTCTGAATGAATTCATTCAAGCTCTTTTCTTTGCACAAATGGAGTATGTAATAATAATCTAATGATTTGTTCATTTACTTTTAATGCATGTGTGTATGTATGTGAGTATGTTAATGTCTCTATATATACTTTTGCTTTTAATTTGAGGAGTTAAAAGGGAATTTTATGGCATGTGATTAAAATGAAATTATATTATTATAGGCTGCTCCTAAATACATTGTGTAAGCAGCAAATCCTGAGGAACAGTGTGTGCACAATGAGTGGCTAGAGGGAGATGAAGAAACAAGTATTTAAATTTTATTTCTGCATATTTCTTGCTGTCCAAGATATGCATTTGCATATTTTTAAAACATTATCTTGTGATACTTGCCTATAGATCCAAATAGGATATAAGTATATGAAGATAAGAAGCTTATTAACTTAATGGTTCCCTTTTTTCATTTTTGGGGGGTTTTTTGAGTTATTTTTTGTCTTGTACAAGTCCAACAAGGCTTTCAGTTCATTCTCACTGCAAAGTTTAGATCAGAAAACAATTCAAGGCATGTGGAAGATTTCCATTGACTTGAATGGTCCTTGTATGTCAGTGCTGGCAGAAGCCCACATGCAGTGGTGGCCACAGCATAAAGGTGAAGATAGAACTTATTTAAACTTCAGTCAATTGTGGCAACTCAGTTATGTTTTATTATTGATTAATAGCACTTCTTAATCTTACTGTTAGCAGAGCGTGAATACTGCTTTGGTTTGTATGTGTATGGATAGTATTAAGGGATGTCTGTGATGTAGGGCTCTGTGATAAATAGGTGTAGTCAAGAATGTCACAATCCTGGTGTTTGGATTAAGAATTAATACTTACTTTAATGAATTCTACCTGTAAAAGAAATCTCAAGAGTGGTGGGCCATCACATTTATTTTGGTAAGCAAATGTACATCCCTTTTATACATCTTTACCGACAGAGTGAGTAGAAATGCTTTGCCTTTAGGACTGTCAGAGATACACAGTTCCAGTTTCCTTCAGACATTGTTAATTCAACGATGTTAGTACATTGCTGATTTTGTTTCCCCTGTTGAGCACTTCTGCATAATAAATGCTATACATCTATTCAAAATACTGTCGAATTTTGAGGAAATCCTTGCTCTTAGTTAGCCAGAAACAACTAGAGGCTTTAATGATACTTGAAGTGTTCGGGAGAAAGGTTTGCTTTTATTATTATTTAAATCACTAAGCTGCCAATAGGCTACTTTTTAAATGGGACCCTCCATAGACTTTCCAAGATTTATATACTTATACTAGTGTGACTATTTGTATGGTACCATCTGTGGAATTTTGTACTTCGGTAGGTTCCTAAGGGGAACATCAGGCAGCTATTACTGTCTGCATCATTAAAGCATTTGGGAGACCTAGTCAAGAGTGCTTGAGTTCTGCAAACAAGAGGGGTAAAGTGGGACTGGCTCCGGGAGCTTGCAGCTGTCAGAAAAGCTGAATTTGACTTCAATGCAAAGAACAGGTTCTGCTCACTTAGCTGCAACTTGGGAGTGAAGATTTTAGTTTGTGTTTAAAATGGAGCCAAACAAGCCCCTCAAGTGTTATTTAAGCTCTTGGACAAATTGAGACAGAAGACACTATGGAATATTTTACAATTTCTCTTTCAGCTGAGGTGAGGAAGCTTGTACTCCTATTTTCTAGCCTTCAGGAAAACAGATAATGAGGGTTTGTACTTATTTCTGACATTAACCTTTGTAGAAGAAAATACTTAAATTTTCTTTATCCAGAGCAAAGAAGAGAAAGAGCTTTTGTTATCCATATAATCCATTTATAACTCTGATACAAACTGACTAAATCCAGTTACTCCAATTAAAATAGTTTTCATGATCAGTTTAATTCCTGCTAGAGTGCTGGTTTTTATTTTTAAGTAAACGTATTAAAGTGCCTGTATCCTTTTTGCATTATAGTAACACAGCGACCTGATGAGTCTGTGGTCACTGTATGTAATCTACCTCTCTCTGAAATGTCCTGGGCATGAAAAAAGACTCCGAACTCTATGCTAAAGTCTAGTTTGAGACCTAGCGGGCACTTCTGCGAAGACAGGCTGAGGGAGTTGGGCTTGTTCAGCCTCTAGAGGAGAAGGCACTGGGGAGACCCTAGAGCAGCTTCCAGTGCCTGAAGGGGGCCCTACAATAAATCTGGAGGGGGACTTTTTACAAGGGCTTGTAGTGACAGGACAAGGGGAATGGCTTTAAAATGAAAGAGGGGAGATTTAGATTAGATAGTAGGAAAAGAGTCTTCACTGTGAGGGTGCTGAGGTGCTGGCACAGGTTGCTCAGAGAAGCTGTGGCTGCCCCATCCCTGGCAGTGTTCAAGGCCAGGTTGGACGGGGCTTTGAACAACCTGGTCTAGTGGAAGGTGTCCCTGCCCATGGCAGGGTGGGTGGAACTAGATGATCTTTAAGGTCCCTTCTAACCCAAACCATCCTATGATTCTGTGATTCTAGTATGTAGAGAGGATAATGGCTATAGCTTTGGGTTGATATGAGTGTGGGATGCATGATGATGAACGGAGTAAATTTAATGTTCTCCCTGTGTTTGAGTTGGGTGTTGATAATTATTACCTGGTAATAGCAGGTACGTCTGTGCCAGCTGTTGGTTGCCTTTACTGTCAGCAGAGAAGTGGAAATGAAGTGGGAAGTACCCCCCGGAGGGTATTTGCACTCTGCTGCTCCAGTCAGCACTATGCAGTCAGGGCCAGAAGGATGCAGAGATCACTGCTGGGATGTAAAGTTCAGTGAACATCTTCATATCCCCAGTGTGACTGTGAGAGACATTTACACTACTTTAATTGTACAGACTGCTTGCATGAGTGTGTTTGTAGACACCCTGACACTAGGCAGTCGGTAATGGTTCTGAGTGTTTAGATGTAAAGCTGTTGGAAAAAATAGGTTTCCTTGTTTTAGTGGTGCTGACCCCATCAGCTAATTAGGCCTGGCTCCCTTTCTAATAACTTATGGTTTTATTAATCTTCTTTCAGGGGAAAATGCCTAGATTTACCACTAAACCCAAATGAGTAATCAAGAGTGTCTAATGATACTGCTGTGCGTGTTATGCTTAATGTTTTAAGCACACTCCTTGAGAGGAAAACTTTCTTTTCTTCCATCAGGCTGACTTCAACGCTGCTGCAGAAGATGTAAAAAAATTAAAAACAAGGCCAACTGATGAAGAACTGAAGGAACTGTATGGATTATACAAACAGGCTACTGTTGGAGATATTAATATTGGTACTCCTATTCCTATATATACTTCACATTTACTCCCATATCTTGATGAAATCAAGCAAATGTTATGTAAATCTGCATGATAATCAAAGGTATGCATTTATTTTGGCAGAATGTCCAGGAACACTAGATTTGAAAGCCAAAGCCAAATGGGAGGCATGGAACCTGAAAAAAGGTGTTGCACCAGTTAAATTTACATCATCTAGTCATGTTTATAGGATGACAAATGAGGAAGGATAATGACTCCTATTTTCCTTTGCAGGTTTATCAAAGGAGGACGCCATGAAAGCCTATATCTCTAAAGTAAAAGAAATGGTAGAAAAATATGGGATCTAGAATACTCAAAATAATTCCCACTAACAACTAACCCTTCAGTAGCTAATGAACTAATTCTGTTGAGAAAAATGCAAACTAACTCCTTACCTCCTTCTTGTGTAGTCTGACAGTAAAATCTTTTAAGCGTAAGCTGTTTGACTGTAAAGGGTATTTGCATACATACGCTATATTTTAGATTGTATCTTATTCTAAATAAATTTAAACTTAATAAATTAAGCTGCCTGTAAGAATTGTGGATTTTTGTGAGTATTAAATTACAGTAAGCATTTTTACAGAGAAGCTCTAAAAGTAAAATAACATAGCTGTCATTATTTGGAAATGAGGTTATGGAATGAAGGATTTGTGCACACGCAAGATGAGAAGAGGGGAAAAGAAAGATGGAAACTGTTTTATTTTTGAGCCCCAAAGCCAACATTTATTTTCAAAAAATCAAAGAAATTCCCTCTTCTGAAGGATTATAGAGGAGGAACAGAACAACTAGGCATAACTGCATGCAATTGTACAGAAAGAATTACTTATTTTGAACTGCTGTGGCCTAATCTTACACTGTCTGCCATTAAAATAGAGGGAAATACTCATAGGCTGGCATTTTCTAAGCATCTTGTTATGTGTTTTATCAAGAAGATTTCACTAGAGGGTTCCAGCAGATAAAAGTGACCACAGGGAAGGTTATCAAAGGAAGTATCTTCACTTGTTAGATCATGCCAGGCTGAGAAAGAAATGCCAGGCTCTGAGAAATGTCAGAGAAATGTCAACTATTGGAGTCATTTTATGTAACAATTTCAAAGTTACTATTTAATAATTATTTTAAATCACATATCAACTGGTTTGGTTCATACATTGAGACTGCTTTGTTGATTTAAAGACTCTAGCAAAGCTCTTCATTAACCGATTCAACAGGAAGACATGCGAGTATAAGCGAAGCACCTTCTAAATCATGTGCTTGATCTTCAGACCCATTAAAGCAGGTCATATCGCAAGAGAAGGGGATATTCGCTTCTGCCATCTCAAAACTGTGAACATAAAGCAGTATAAATAGCAGTAATAAAACTTTCCATCAGATACCTATATTTGGGGTTTTCTTCCACATACAAACAGCTTTTTCTTTCTCCTCCAAAACATAACAAACTTCAGGAATTACATTGTGCAGAACATCAGGGGAAGGAATTACTGTAGCTGTAGGATTCTCAGCTCCTTACCCTACTGCAATTACTACAAATTTTAATGAAAGAATGACCCAGTAGTTAGGAAAAAAGGAGCTTCAATAATTAAGTCAATAAAAATTCTAGCCTACAATAAATGACTATGTTGTCTGCTTATATTCAAGTTCTAGTGTTTCAGGGCCTTATAAGCATCAGATTCCTATGGCCAGAATGGGTCCCACATCCAAGAGTGTCCTTGGCTTTGCCAGAGTAAGAAACTTTAACCACTGAGCTACATGAGCTCATGGTTAAACATCCACTTGGAACAGCAGTTAGGGCAGAAGCAGCTGGTTGTGCTCTGGATACCTAGAACATGGGGATTCTTTGCTTCTGGTTAGGCTAGGGGGCCATGGATCAGGATGCTAAATGCAGTGATCCTGAGGCACCATCAGTTGAGATTATTAGCCTCAGAAAACAATAAAAGAAGTGAGAATATTCCTTTGGATCCTAAGTAGAGCCTTAATTCTACCATGACATGTTCACTTCTGTAATAACAGTAGTGGTTGCTACAGTAAGCAGTGTTTTCATCTAGTGTTTAAATACTAGAAGCACACAAAGGAGAAAACTGTGTTTACTATTTCACGATCTTTTTATAACAGAAACGAGAACAAATTACAGAGAAATAAGAAAACCTGAATCAGACAGAAGTAAAACTGTAAAATACAAATATAAATGTAATAACGAAATCGTAAAACTTAGGACCATGTTTGAAGTACTCTAGTGTCTTCTCTGACAGTTCTTATCAGATGGTTCTTAATGCCTTCATTTTGCAGAAGCTCAGAAGGAATTCCTCGTAGAATTTTTAGGTATGTAAGAACATCTTCATCTTTTGCATCATGTGTGGGTATGCTTTTGATGGAAATAAATGCTTCAGACTGTCAGCCAGACAAAACAGATCAAGTGTTGTATATAACATACTTTACATAATACTTTAATAATTGTTTTAGTAAAAAAGTACAATGATTCTGTGTCTCCAAAATACAATGAACGGCTGATTAGTTTAGCATCCACAGAAAACACTTCTTGGAAAGGCTTAGCAGACTGTTTGCTGAAAATATGAATTATGAGTGAGCGAAGTACTCTCAAGGCCTGAAACTTGCACAGACAAGCATTACATTAATTTTGTTCAAAGTTTGATTCTCACAATTGAAATACAACTAATAAAATAATCTATTTAAGAGAAAGAAAAGCCTAGCAGTGGACACAAATCTGACTGATGTAGGACTGGAGAGTCTTAACTGATTATGAAAATTTGCAGGAATAACAATTGCTTCCATGAAGTGCTAGCTCGTACTCAGGGTTGCTAAGAAGCCCAGGAACAGAAGAACGGAAAAAGCAAATGCTGTCTGAGGACAGGAGGACTGAGAAAAAGACACTTCACTGTTGTTTTCCGGAAAAGACTAGCAGACCCAGCAGAACCTCAGGAGAAACTGAGGACAGATCAAAAAGCCAACAACGAAGGTGGAGAGAAAAAAACAGACAAATGCACTGAGGGCTGGTGCAGGAGATTTATGAAAGATTAGGTTAAGACAGCTATTTCACATGTTACAGAGCAGGGAGTGGCACTTCATGTTTTGTTTTGATTACTTTTCAGTATTAAAAGCCAGAGGCCATTAGTAAATAACACGGTATTAAAAAAAGATGGCATTAGCTTAAGGAGGCTGTTCTCCCCAGGCTAAGGTTGGCAGCAGTGGATACTCTGTAATGTGAAATTCTTTGCCTCAGAATTAATTTCCTCTAAGAAAAAAAGACGTTTTTCTGCATAGATTCGGAAGCAAAGGTTGTTTTCTATTAAAGCCACTCTACATGCCATACTGTAAAATGTTATTTTTACTCTTGGTAGCTAATATACTGTTTTGTTTCATACTGTTAATGATTCTGAAACTTATTTTTGGGGCATGTGTCCCTGATACAAAAAGATGGATTGGTTCTAGTCCATACTTTTCTTTCAAGTGTAGTGCAACTGCAAAACTAACATAAGATCCAAAATGGCAGCAAAAAGAGAAATTAAAACAAAGTAAGCAAAAATATATGTAAAACCTGGAAAATTTAAACATCGTTTAAATTTCAGTGTTAACTGGCTATCTTGAACAGTTACTGAAACCATACATGACATGGAAATTATAGTCATATTACCTAATTGGTATGTATTCCTATGCAGTCTAATTTTACAAATCAGACCTTTTCTTAGTCTCTCTTTCTTTTAGTAGTGTCCTTAATTTGCAGTAAGAACAGTTATTTTGAATACTTGGGACAGACTAATCTTCAAAATCTATGTGTTTTATGAATGGTTTGCCCCCTACATTTTAGAGAAAGCACTGACACAAATATTAACAGTAAAAACAATTATAATTTATCAGTGTAGAAAAAAAAAAAAAGAAACACGACACTGCCATTTTTAGAAGACATTGTGTCTGAAGTAATAGTCTTTGAGATCAACAGCATGCTTTAGGATGGCTTGACAAAAGGCTTTTGCAGAAGTGTATTTTCCTAAAGTTTTTGTAAATAAAGGCAAGTAACTATCTATTCCTAGAGTTTGAAGACAAAGTTCCTTCACTGGGGTATCTAGAAATGTATGTATGTTTACCTCTGACCAAAAAATGCAAATTGTTTTTCTTGAAGTTCTTTTAACAAAGCACTTGGAATTTCATTAACTATGTCTGATGTCTTTTGCAAAAGGTTCTCTTCCAGGAAACCTTATAGGGGATACTGCAGAAGAGGTGGAGGAAGGGAGAGAAAAGAATTATAGTTATTTCAGATAGAAACAGTACAATAATTTTAATTAAGCTTTTAAATCTATTCTGCAGAATATATAGATTATTTAAGCCTTCTTAAAGTTGATACAGTGTATTTGCTATTCTACTACTGGTTTTTAATCCTGTGAAGAGATTAGATTTACACCCCTTCCTTTACTCCCAAATGTTGCCTCTCCAACTGTTCTGATTGATAAACGCCTTGGGTCAGAAATCTACAATGTAAGGAATGAATAGATGAGGGAAAGAATGCTGATTTTCTAAAATCTTCTTGACGTCACACATACTGCCAAACTCATATGGAAGTAAAGGGTCAGATGCAAACTCTTTTAGCAGAGAAAGAATAAACCACTAATACCATAGACAGAAATGTTTGCATCTTACATACTTCCTTTCCTCACAAAACACCCCTGAAAGAGCATGCTGCACCCTGATTTTATTCATCTGTGTCTGCATTTGCTTCTAGACCATCTCCTTAGTAACTTTTTTGGAAGTAGTTCCAGTGAACAAAAGCTTTTTCTTCTTTAAAAAAAAAAAATTCCAGGAAACTCTGATGTGACCTGTGCAACTGTTTACAGAAAGCATACGCATACAAGCATTTAGAGGACTGGTACAATTGCCATGGCAATGGTCTCTATTAATGCCAATTTATTTTCCTTTGTGGAAGGTCTGGAAAACAGCCTTGGTTCCTCTTCAAATATTTCAGCAATGGATCTTTTTAGTGCTGATATAGCCCGATAGCAATGAGAAGTACTTCACACTGTAACTGCCATTTTCACTGTTCTAAATCCATAGTTTAAACTTCAGTTTTGATACAAGAAGTGTAAAACCATGCAAACACTCTGGATAACAGAACTTCTGTTCAGTCTCTCAACATTAAAACTAGTTCTCAGATCTTCATTGTTGACCTTGCTGATGCCTTTTTTTTACATATTAACAATACACCAGTGTACTGCTGTTTCTGAATCACACCAATATTTTCTGAAGCAGTCAAGCATACTATAGTCTTATGAAATTTAGCTCTGAGGATATAACTTCTTAACCTGTAATTTGATCCGAGGTGGCATAGAAACATAGTAAACTCAGCACCCTAATGGAAATGCTAATTCCTAATGGAAATGCTAATTCCTAATGGAATTCCTTTCTGGATTAGACCCTGTCCTGGGTTCAGCTACAGCAGTCATTATTTCTCCGTCTTAGTAGCTGGTGCAGTGCTGTGTTTTTGACTTTCAGTCTGGGCACAACACTGGTAACACCGATGTTTTTAGTTGTTGCTCAGTAATATTTACTCTGACCAAGGACTTTCTCAGTCTCATGCTCTGCCAGGGAGGAGGGGAAGCCGGGAGGAAGCAGAGACAGGACACCTGACCCAAACTGGCCAAAGGGGTATTCCATACCACAGCACGTCATGCCCAGTATAGAAACTGGGGGGAGTTACCCGGAAGGCCCAGATCACTGCTTGGGTCGGGCTGGGTATCGGTCGGCGGGTGGTGAGCGGTTGTGTCCTTTTCCCTTGTTATTCCTCTTATCATTATTATTGGTAGCAGTAGTGGTTTGTATTATACCTTAGTTACTGGAGTGCTGTTATCTCAACCCGTGGGAGTCACATTCCTCCGATTCTTGTCCCCATCCCTCCGGGAGCGGGGAGAGGAAGGAAGAGGCGGGGGGAGTGAGCAAGCGGCTGCGTGATTCCAAGTTGCCGGCTGGGCTTGAACCACGACAGACCCACTGGATAAACATTGCAGTGCAATCAAGAACATCATATTCTATTCCAAAAAATTTGCTACCATGTATTTCAGACATGCTTAACTTCTGCTTTAGCTTCACAAATGATTGACCTTCAATTGAACTGCTGAAGAGTCTGCCGCCTTGATCAAGATGAGAAGCTCCATCTCCAGCCCATGGAAAGCGTATCAGCCTACAGAGAGCATTTGGCCTTTTGTATGGACAAACAACCACCTTCTCCATTCCTTAAAAAGAACAAAACCAAAGAAAACAACACATCATTCTAGAACAAGACTCTTCAGGTAGAGCAAATTAAATCTAATTTGATACAATGGGCTGCAATATTTTCTGTCTTCAAAACTACTTTTGCTACAACAACAATCAGTTCTTTTTGAAATGGAGTAACTAGAGTCACATTCAGCTTTATCACAGCAGCTTTAGTATTTTCATTTACTGACTGACAGAAGTAACTGCTGAAGCAAGATTTATAACAACTCCTTCCTTCTTGCTGAGAAGGAAAAATAGCATTGAATATGCCAACTGCATTGTCTCTAGCACTAGATACTGTCTTTAGGATCTGAGTCTTCTTTCCTATTTTCTTGTCCTTCATTCTTGCTGATCAGATTTATGGACATAAGCATTAAGATGATATTCTACTATTGGTAGCACATCAGGCTGTGTTCCATCAGAAGAACCTGGCAACACCATGTGCAACAGAAATACCTGGTAAAGATAAATCAGAAGCAGTAGTGATACAGAATTTAATAAAAAAGGGTCTTCTGCAGCCATTAGAATGAACCCACATGTTCTTTTCAAAAAGACTGAAAAAACAGTAATCAGGGGATAACAAATTTCCAAAATGCTGCAAATCATCATGGATGTTATTTCTTGCTTTGAATATAGCTCAGTGTATGCAAGGGCTGATTCATCATAAAATACACCTATATGCCTACACGCAGTCTTTTTTACCTGCACAAAAAGTTTTGGAAATGCAACCAGATCAGAATAGGCAGCAATTCATGCCTATTTTAAAACTATGTAATGCAAGCAAGACAGAAGAAAATCTACCGTAATGCTGCTGTGGCAATTTCTTGATTTTCACATATACATATGTCTAAACTGTAAAATTTGTCATCATTCGTTAAGAATCACTTCAGAGAAACTGTAAGAAGAGCAAGTCAAAAAAAAGTGTATCAACAATCACTGGGCAAACAATTAAAAATAGCTGAAGGGTAGTGGAACCAGTGCTACAGAAAACAGAATTCCTCTGGTAGATTCATTTAGTTCCAGTGCCATTAGTCCCATTACACAGTCACTTGTTTCACAAAAAGACACAAACCCCCAAACATTTCTGAAGCCAATGTTTTAATTTGACAATCAAATAAGAAAAGAAAAATCAAACTGATTCTAAAGGTGATACAAAAATGCCAAGCATGATAAAGCAGCACATTTAGTCAAAGTCCTTAAACTATTCAAAGATACATTACCAGTCACTGAGAATTTTCCACACTTTTTACTCATACACATTTATTCCATCCCCATCCAGTTTACTTTAGCTGCGGATACCTGAGTAGTCAGGAAGACCAGCAGTGTCAGAAAACAAGAGCCTGGGGGTGGATCCACTTCTCAACACTGCACAGCAAGAAGGAGGAGGCAGAATTTGTATGTATCAGCAGATACAGGAGCAAAGCCAACTTCACAGGTGGAGGCAATGTGCATCCAGGTGGCACAGCTGCCTGCTTTTAAGTCTTTTGTGGGCTAAAGGGGAGGAGCCCACACCCCAGAAAAAAGGCAGAGACTGAGGTACACAGCATCCCAAAAGGGAGACAGGAGCATCACATTAGGTGTGACACATGCTGCATTTGGCAGCACTACGAGGAAGGTGCACTGCATCAATCCCACTGATTTAAAAAGCACATTTTAATATGCCCATGACAGTACAGAAGTTGTAGCAATTTCAGTACATGGAGACCCACAGCTTTGTTGATGAAAATGCCTGATAAAGTAACCAAGAAAAGAAGTTTAGCGCTCACACCTCTGCTGGACAATTTTGCAGGGGTCTGAAAATGTTGATGTAGACCATCACCTGACATGAATAAAACACTGCATTTGGTTAGTAGGCCAGTTGTAATTTCTACAAGCTGGAAGACATAGTAGTGCATGAACAACACACTGGTTCTATATGATGATTTTATATTAGGTACCATATTGTGCTTCTGGTGACCAGATGCTATCAGACAACCTAGAAACACCAGTGTATTTGTAACTGCATTCATAGTACTAGGAAGATCGGCTTTTTTTGTTTGCTTGTTTGTTTTTCTTTTTCGTGTTACTCTACCAAAAATAGCTGTAAAAATAATAAAGTAAAAATATTCAAAAGCAATGACAAAAACTAAGGAACCTGAGTGCCAAAATGGATTCTGATGCTTAACTAGACACATACGCTAGACTGCTTTGTGGTTTTCACATTATTCTTCATTCTTCTACACTTCATCATCTCTAGGAAACTGACAAATCTGTGATGTTAAGAGGGAAGTCTGCCTGTTGGCCTAGCCAGTCAGTAAGCACTGCTCCTTTCCCACACAAGGTCTGCAGTTTTTTACGCTGCTTTCTGGGGAAACCCTAAATCAACACTTCTGACTGCAGCAGTTTCTGTGGGAAGGCCCAGGCCCCACAATGGGGGCTGGTCCCAAGACCTGCAACTGCCACTTCCAAATGGCAAAAGTGGAATCTGTTGCTAAGGCTTGTTTCAGAGTGCTTTTGTGTTGTAATTATTATGAAGTAAGATGAGGCACACCTATGTTTGGGGAGTGCACAATTTAAAGCAGGTTACATTGGCTAGTCCTGACCTGTGCTGTTACGCACAAGACTGCTTCTCCACATGATGGATCTGCTATCAGAGGTGTTTGATTATAAGGTGCAATTTATAATAAAGCACCTGATATGCTTTATTTATTCCTACCTCAAATTGTGCCATCTGTGAAATCTGACACCCTGTTATAACCCTGTTCATAACATTAACAGTTGCTAATGTTATGAAAGCCAGGTCAACCAAAACTACGTTTGCCATTTCCAGGGCTGAAGGTAAAAGAGCGCTTTACAGAACTAACTTTGCTAACCCAGTACTAGTACAGAATAGGACAGACTATTTTGGTTGGAAGGGATCTACAATGATCACCTTGTCCAACTGCCTGACCAATTCTTGGCTGACCAAGTTAAAGCATGTTGTTAAGGGATTGCTCAAATGCCTCTCAACCACTGGCAGGCTTCAGGCATTGACCACCTCTCTAGGGAGCCTGTTCCAGTATTTGACCACCTTCTTGGTGAAGAAATGCCTAATGCCTAATGCCCAGTCGAAACTTCCCTGGTGCAGCTTTGAACCATTCCCACATGTCCTATCAGTGGATACCAGGGAGAGGAGATCAGAACCTCCCTCTCCACATCCCATCCTCAGGAAGCTGTAGAGAGAAAAGAGGTTGCCTCCTTTTCTCCAAACTAGAGGAGCCCAAAGTCCTTAGCTGCTCCTCTATGAGGAGCATTCCTTCCAGGCCTTTCACCAGCTTTGTTGTCCTCCTCTGGACGCATTCAAGGACCTTCACAACCTTCTTAAATTGCAGGGTCCAGAACTGCACACTGTACTCCACGTGAGGCTGCACAAGCGCTGATTACAGTGAGATAATTGCTTCTGGTGGTTCTGCTGTCTTTGATGCACACAGGGATGTGGTTTGCCTCCTTGGCTGCCAGGGCACATTGCTGACTCACACTGAGCATAATTTACACCTCTTTACAGTGTTACTCTATCCTACCTGCAGAATCTGGCATTTGGATTTGTTAAATTTAATCCCAATCAATCACAGCCCAATGTCCCAACCTATCTAAATCCCACTGCAAGGCCTCCTGTTCCTGAAGAGAGTACACAGCACCTCCCAGTTTGCTATCATCAGCAAACTTGTTAATGGTGCATCCCACTCCTCAATCCAGATCGTTAAATAGATTGAACAGAACTGCCTTAGAACTGAACCTTGAGGAACGCTGCTGGCAACCAGGTGCCAGCCAAACGTATGCCCATTCACTACAACCCTTTGAGCTCTGCTCTTCAGCCAGTTCTTCAACCAGTGCACCATGATCCTGCTCATCCCACAGCTGGACAACTTTTCCAGAAGGATGCCACGAGGGACAGTATCAAAAGCCTTACTAAAATCCAGAAAAATTACATCCACCACCTTCCATTATCCACTAGGCAGGTGACCTTATCATAGAGGATATCAAATTAGTTAAACAGGACCTTTCTCTTGTGACCCCATGCTGACGGTGCCTGATGGTTGCATATGCATTAAAAGCCTTTCAGTAGTATGCAGTACAATCTCCATGATTTTTCTGGGAACTGAGGTTAGACTAACAGGTCTGTACTTCCCTGGGTCTTCCCTCATGCCCTTTTTGTAGACAGGAATATCACTGCCTAGCTTCCAGCCAGCAGGGACCTCCCCAGAATCCCAAGACATTTAGCAGATAATTGAAAGGGGTCTTGCCATAACATCCACTAGCTCCTTCAGCACTCTGGGATGAACCCCACCAGGCCCCATGGACTTGTGAACATCCACCTGATACAGCTGGTCCCTTACAGTATCAGTGTCCACAAATGGAAAGTCACTATTCCCACACTCATGGTCCTCCAACTCTGGGGACCAGGCAGCCCACGATCTATCAGTATTACTAAAGACTGAGGCAAAAAAAGCACTGAATGCCTCCACTTTTTCTTCATCCCTATTAGTCAGCTGACCATCTTCAAACAGTATTGGTCCAATGTTTTCTTTAGAATCCCTCTAGATATCAACCTATTAATAAAGCCCTTCTTGTTATCTGAAATAGCACTGGCCAGTTTCAACTCTCAGCTTTGGCCTTTCATTTCTTCTCTCTGCATATATGAACCACAGTTCCGTACCCTTCCAGCAAAGCCTGACCTCGTTTCCAGAGATCAGTCTTGTGGTGATGTCCTGAACTCAGGCCCCAGGGAGGCAGAAAACTTCCCTGAAAAGAGGGTCTCTGCAAAACGGAGTTTCCATTTTGCATGGGAGAGCATCAGCAATGACCAAACCAATTTTAAAGAGCTATTCAAAGAAAGATGTTTTGGAAGATGGTCTTGGAGACCTCAGTCACCACTCTGCCTCAGTGGACTTGTCCATTCCATATTGATTACCCAGTGACAAGCAGTAGGTGCAAGGCTGAACAGGGTTAGGTCCACT